AGCTTTAAATAGAAATGTTGTATTGCTATTTGTGTTGGGTGATGTGTTTACCTTTCTTGTAGCACGCACTCCGATCGTGTTTTTATTGTTGTTGTTTGTTGTTAGTTGTGACGTTCTTACCCCGTGCCTCGACTGGACATCCGTGAAAAAAAGAGCTTTCTAGCTCATCGGATTCCTTCTGCTGCTGCTCCTACTGCTGCTGCTCCTGCTGCTGCTACTGCTGCTGCTGCTGATGTTACTGTTGCTGCTGCTGCCCCTGCTGCTGCTGCTGTTACTGTTGCTGCTGCTGCTGCTGCTGCTCCTGCTGCTGATGTTACTGTTGCTGCTGCTGCTGCCCCTGCTGCTGCTGCTGTTACTGTTGCTGCTGCTGCTGCTGCTCCTGCTGCTGATGTTACTGTTGCTGCTGCTGCTGCCCCTGCTGCTGCTGCTGTTACTGTTGCTACTGCTGCTGCTGCTCCTGCTGCTGCTGCTGCTCCTGCTGCTGCTGCTGCCCCTGCTGCTGCTGCTGCTCCTGCTGCTGTTGTTGCTGCTGCTGCCCCTGCCGCTGCTGCTGCTGCTCCTGCTGCTGCTGCTGCTGCTGCTACTGCTGCTGCTCCTACTGCTGCTGCTGCTGCTGCTCCTGCTGCTGCTGCTGCTGCTGCTCCTGCTGCTGCTGCCCCTGCTGCTGCTGCTGCTCCTGCTGCTGCTGCTGCTGCTGCTCCTGCTGCTGCTGCTACTGCTGCTGCTGTTGCTGCTGCTGCTGTTGCTCCTGCTGCTCCTGCTGCTCCTGCTGCTGCTGCTGCTGCTGCCCCTGCTGCTGCTGCTCCTGCTGCTGCTGCTGCTGCTCCTGCTGCTGCTGCTACTGCTGCTGCTGTTGCTGCTGCTGCTGTTGCTCCTGCTGCTCCTGCTGCTCCTGCTGCTGCGGTATAAATCCATATTCAGATTTGGATTCTGAGGCTTTAAATTGATTTCCAAATGCTCTCTCCGCCGAGATGTCTGACGCTTGTCAAACGTCGTCGACGCGACCGTGTTCACGTGACAACCCTTCCTAGTTGCGTGTGTCGGGTAGTGGTGGGTTCAAGACACATTTAGTACTCACGCGATCTAACCCAGAAACCTTTATTAGAGATCCAGTGCTTCATTTTAGCTGCCTTTGTGGGGTAATATGTTATATTTCACTATCATATATTGAAATATATTACATTTATATAAATGTTTTCTATATGTAAATATATTTTCTACGGAACCTTTTTCCCAGTATCAAAAATCATGAAAAATAAATAATAGGTGTTTTTCGCCTTTCTTGCAAAAAATCAGAAGTTGTGTTAAGATGTTCTAACACCAAATAGATGATACCTTGAGCAAGGAGTCGAATCAGCATGAACCACAAACATGCCCTGACAATGATGTATGCATTGTCATTGAAACCGATTGGGGGCCGTCCATAAATGACGTCACGCGATTTTAGACCCCCCCCCCCCTCAAATATGACCTCACAAAGCTCTGCCCCCCCCCCAAATAAAACATGCTTCAAATCGCTTTAAACTATTGTCATTGTAGTGCGTATTTAATGTGGCGCTGCACTGTGCGAAACGTCGGACAACACCCCCCCCCCCGATTCTCAGAAGCGTCCAGGGCCGGTGGGTGGCCAGACGGCTCTGGGGGGGTGGGGGTGGGAGGGAGAGTTTTCTCACTCGACCCCCCCTCCCCCCTCTCTTCCTTAGCCCTGAGCAGACCTACAAGTGTCACAGCCTCACGTCGGTTCTCTGCAGGTCGCCCGCTCGGTGTGGAACGGGGCACCACGGTGGCTAGGAGATGTTGACTACCTCGCCTAGTATGCAGGAGGTCGTGGCTTCAATCCCGACCCTAACGCCTGCTGCTGCTGTATATTTGGAGTTTGCGTGTTTCTCTCTCATCATCATCACGGTGGCTAGGAGATGCTAACTACCTCGCCTGGTGCGCAGGAGGTCGTGGGTTCGATCCCGACCCTGACGCCTGCTGCTGCTGCTGTATATTTGGAGTCTGCGTGGATTTTTATCCGGGTCCTCCGGATTTTTCTCTCCACGTTTAGAATTCGCATTACGCGTTTGGAGTCTGTTGCTGCTGCTATACATTTCCACGTGATGATGATGATGATTCGCACCCGGCTATCAATTGTGATGTCCAGCTCGCTTCTGAAAAAAGAGCTACATAGCTCAGTGGGCCTTACCTGATAAAATGAAAATAAAACTGCAGTAGTTTAGCGTGCGTTTAGAGTAAATGGCTGCCGTACATTTCCACTTGATAAGCTACTTTGTTGGGGCCTTACCCGGTAAAATAAAAAAATAAAATAGATTACAGTTTTGTTTTAGCTTCATATCCCTTTGTACACCCGCAACATCAAATGCACTCTGACTTCTTTCGTAGTGACATAGAATTGCTCCCTTCGTAGCACAGCGCTGGCTGCTGGCAGGGAAGGGGATCTGCAGCTGGAAGCAGCCCTGATTGACAGCAGGCCACGTGACAGACCCGCAAGGGATCTCGGGTGAAGGTTACACAAGGGACACGTCGAGAGCCCCGCTCGTATATTCCAGAAGGGGGGCGTGGCCAGGGGGCGGAGCGAGGCCACGCTGACGCGCGGGAACCGGCGTTCGCGACTGGCCGGTTCCCGCGAGTGTGGGAGACGTACGGAGCTTTGTCGGCTTCGCCTCCCATTATCGCCGGTTCATCCCTCGGTTCGCTTCCATCGCGAAACCGTTGCATGCGCTCACGGCCAAAAATCATCGCTTACACCGGGGACCGGAGGAGGAGGCTGCGTTCAATACCTTGTGGGATCGGCTGTCTGACGCGCCTACTCTCGACCGCCCCGATGATTTTTCGTCCCCCTTGACACTAACGCCAGCGACGCGGGCATCGGGGCTGTCCTGTCGCAGGTGAAGGGGGCGTCGAACGCGTCGAACGAGTCGTCGCGTACAGTAGTCGGGTGCTCTCGCCGGCGGGAACCCGCTATTGCGTCACTCGCCGGGAGTTGCTGGCGATCGTTCATTTTGCGCGACTCTTTCGGCCCTACTTATATGGCAGGAGGTTTGTTTTCTGCACTGATCATGCGGCTCTCCAATACTCGTTGAAAATCGAGCAGCCGGGCGGTCAGTTGGCATGCTGGCTGGAGTGCTTGCAGGAATTCACATTTGATGTCACCTACCGGAAGGGGACTCGTCACGCTGACGTGTTGTCGCGGTTGCCACACGCGTCTCGCTGTGCTTGCCGCTCCGGTATAAACCGCTCCGGTATAAACCGCTCCGGTATAAACCGCCCCGGTATAAACCGCCCCGGTATAAACTGCTCCGGTATAAACCGCTCCGGTATAAACCGCCCCGGTATAAACCGCTTCGGTATAAACCGCTCCGGTATAAACCGCTCCGGTATAAATCGCTCCGGTATAAACCGCCCCGGTATAAACTGCTCCGGTATAAACCGCTCCGGTATAAACCGCCCCGGTATAAACCGCTCCGGTATAAACCGCTCCGGTATAAACCGCCCCGGTATAAACCGCTCCGGTATAAACCGCCCCGGTATAAACCGCTCCGGTATAAACCGCCCCGGTATAAACCGCTCCGGTATAAACCGCCCCGGTATAAACCGCTTCGGTATAAACCGCCCCGGTATAAACCGCCCCGGTATAAACCACTCCGGTATAAACCGCTCCGGTATAAACCGCTCCGGTATAAACCGCTTCGGTATAAACCGCTCCGGTATAAACCGCTCCGGTATAAACCGCCCCGGTATAAACCGCTGTACTCCTCACGATGAGTCTCGGTCCGCAGTTGAGACGTTTCCGGACGAGGCGGGGGTTCCCCCTGCCGATGGCGTGGCGGCGCGAACTATTTTCTGACGACTCTTTGACCTCCTTGCGGGAACGGGCTGTACCGTTCGCGGGTAATTCCGATTCTGTCAAGGAGGGGGTCGGGTTTTGATTCACGAGGGTTTATTGATGTGGCAGGATAACATCTCGCGCCGGCTTCGATTGGTTGTGCCAGATTCTCTCCGTGCGGGTTGACCTGCACGTTGCATTGTGAACACCTTGTCCATCTCGGCGTTCAGAAAACGTTGCTCACCCTGCAGAGGGATTATTACTCTTGTCCGGGTATGATGTCTGACGTCACTGGTGCACTTGGGTCGTGCACCGAGTCTGCCCGGGGGAAATCGCCCCGGCAGCGTCACATTCCGCCCTTGCAATCCATTTTGGCCACGCGCATTAATGAATTGGTTGCCTTGGATGCGTTGGGTCCGTTCCCTGTGACACCTCGTGGGAATACATTTCTTCTCGTCGGCGTTGAATGTTTTTCTCGTTGTCCTGTGGCTTGACCCCTGCCAGATCAATCGACTTTATCCATCGTTGACGCTTTTGTGAACGGCTACGTAATGGATAAAGGGGCGCCGGAAAAGTTGCTCACCGATCAGGGTAGGAACTTTACTTCCAAGCTGTTGCGTGACGTTTGCTCTGCCTTGGGTACCAGGAAGATCTCTACGTCTCCCTACCACCCTCAAACGGACAGTGTTCTCTCTGCTTACCGAAAGGCGCCTCGCGCTTCTACGCGAGACTCGCCGTTCTTCCTCGTGTACGGGAGGGAGAACGTGCCGCCCGTTGATGTTCAAATGGGTTCCCCGGTTATACCTCCGACTCTTCCTGACCATGTCCAAGAGTCACTCAGACGGGTTTCGGAGGCGCGGGAGGCTGCCAGGTTGACTACTTCCAGGACCCAGGCTCGAAATGAACGTTGTGCGCGGAGGTCGAAAGAAGAAGACACGCCATGGTCTTTTGGCGATGAGGCTTGGCTTCATTGCCCGCAGGTGCCTTGGCAGGGGCCGGTGAAAATGATTGAGGTTTTGCGTCCTCGGTGTGTCCGCGGTCGTCACGGCCGCCGGCGTTGGTTCGTTCACCCGTCGTGAGGTGATCCTCCGAAGCCTGCTTCTTTACCGCCCACAGCGCCCCTGAGTGAGACGGAAGGACCTGCGCTGGATCCGGCTGCGTCGCCTCCTACTGGACCACGGCTTCCAGCTGGTTGCGGTGTTCCGGTGGCTGGTCCCGCCTCAGGCAGATGGGCCGGCTACGCGGACACGTCACAAGATGTCGTGGTCTTCTCGAAGCATCTGGCTTTTAACTCGCGTGTCTGCTCCTATTCCACATTGATGTTGTCTGGCATTGATTGTCGGGGCATTCCTTATTCTTCTTATTCCATTCCGGTTGTTGTTATGCTCAGTTGCTGATGTGGGGGTGACATCACCGATCATACAGTCCACGGTTTATCGATAGTAGGGATTCTATTTGGGGTAAAGGTGAATGGGCGGCTCTACCAGGGAAGCATCTGGAACGTTCCCGATGGTTCCAGGAGGGGCTTAGCCTCCGGGGAGCGAATATAAGCCGGGGGGGGGGGGGGGGTGTCCAGCAAGGTGCGGGGTCGGTGTGTGAAGATCAAGAGGAGCTCCCCGTCGCTGCTGCTGCTGCCCGGCCATCTTGACCTGCCACGTGGCCGCTCGTCCAGCGGGCGGGGCGAGCGCCACGTGGCGCGGGGCATCCGCGGACAGAGAGAGAGAGAAGTGGCTCTGCCAAAGATTTATTTACGAAACACTTGAAGTTACTTATCGTGTCGGAGCCACTCATTACACGTACCACGTGCCGGGCATCACGTGATGCATGCACGCGTCTGTGTGTGGTGTGTGGGGAGCGGTGGTGGAGCGGTTAGCGCCACGCCGCGCCACGAACCCGGTGGTACCTGAGTTCGATTCCCGCTCACGGCCACCAACACCGGTGACGATTGTCTGAACCGGTCCTGTGCTCTCGCCTAGGTCGACTCAGCCTCAAATGCGTAGTAAACATCGCCACTGGGGAGACAAAGGCGGCCGGGCGTGGTGCTGGCCACCCACCCCCTCGTGTGCCGTGCCGGCCTTCATAGGTGCTCGCTAATAGCACTTGCCCCTACAGTCTGTTAAGGCTATAAGGGGGATCTTTGACTTTGTTATCTTTGTAATAATAATTTTTATTTATGATGTGCCTATTAACAGTCGTTCTCAATGCGCTGCTAACACGTGCGGCATGCACAAAGACAAAGATCCCCCGTATAGCCTGAGCAGACTGTAGGGGCAAGTGCTGTTAGCATGGAGCACCTATGAAGGCTGGCACGGCACACGAGGGGGTGGGTGGCCAGCACCACGCCCGGCCGCCTTTGTCTCCCCAGTGTGTGTGTTAGTGGTGTGTGTGTGTTAGTGGTGTGTGTGTTAGTGGTGTGTGTGTGTTAGTGGTGTGTGAGTGTTAGTGGTGTATGTATGTTAGTGGTGTGTGTGTTAGTGGTGTGTGTGTGTTAGTGGTGTGTGTGTGTTAGTGGTGTGTGAGTGTTAGTGGTGTGTGTGTGTTAGTGGTGTGTGTGTGTTAGTGGTGTGTGTGTGTTAGTGGTGTGTGTGTGTTAGTGGTGTGTGTGTGTTAGTGGTGTGTGTGTGTTAGTGGTGTGTGTGTGTTAGTGGTGTGTGAGTGTTAGTGGTGTGTGTATGTTAGTGGTGTGTGTGTTAGTGGTGTGTGTGTGTTAGTAGTTTGTGCGTCCAGTGAGTTTTCGTGATTCGTGCCGTATGCTGATGTCACCACGTGAATGCCCCCACACCTCATTAATAAACCACGCGGTGTGTGGGCCCCAATGTTCAGACATGCACAGACCCTGGGGGGCAATTGCTCCACCACCACCACCATCATCACGAGCATCCAGAGTCAACCCTCTGCTGGATGGAGACCTCCTCTCGCGATCCTGCGACGTTGCGATACACCCAGCGCCCACGTGCGGCGACGATTATCTGAACCGGTCCTGGGCCTCCCCTAGGTCGACTCAGCCTCAAACGAGTACCTGGCGCGGTGCGTTAAATCATCGCCACAGGGGAGACAAAGGCGGCCGGGCACAGTCTGTGCAGGCTATACGGGGGATCTTTGTCTCCCCCTCTTAAGTCGTTTTGTGGGGGGCGACGTCCCCCCCTCCACTCCCTCCTCCACCGCGTCCATCGACCCCCGCCGACCGGGTGATCGCCAGAGGTGGGACAAAGTCATTGTTATGCAAGTCCAAGTCGAGTCTGAAGTCATCAAATTCATGACTCGAGTCTGACTCGAGTCCAAGTCACATGACTCGAGTCCACACCTCTGGTGATCGCCCCCCCCCCCCCCCCCCCCGTTAGCGCCCTCTGAGGGACACGGCTCAACTCCTGGCTCACCACCGCACGGGGTGCACCCACACCCTCGTGAACACCACCGCACCCACTCCTGTGGCTGCACGGGGTGCACCCACACACCCTCGTGAACACCACCGCACCCACTCCTGTGGCTGCACGGGGTGCACCCACACACTCGCCCGGTGACACCACCGCACCCACTCCTGTGGCTGCACGGGGTTCACCCACACACCCTCGTGGACACCACCGCACCCACTCCTGTGGCTGCACGGGGTGCACCCACACACTCGCCCGGTGACACCACCGCACCCACTCCTGTGGCTGCACGGGGTTCACCCACACACCCTCGTGGACACCACCGCACCCACTCCTGTGGCTGCACGGGGTGCACCCACACACTCGCCCGGTGACACCACCGCACCCACTCCTGTGGCTGCACGGGGTTCACCCACACACCCGCACGGTGACACCACCGCACCCACTCCTGTGGCTGCACGGGGTGCACCCACACACTCGCCCGGTGACACCACCGCACCCACACCTGTGGCTGCACGGGGTTCACCCACACACCCTCGTGGACACCACGACTCACCCCAACGCGGCGCACAGCTGTACGAACGCACACAAACCTGCGTCGCTCCACACACACACATCACACACACATCACACACACACCACACACATCACACACACACACCACACAAACACCACACACACACACCACACACACACACCACACAAACATCACACACACACATCACACACACACACCACACACATCACACACACACACATCACACACACATCACACACATCACACACACATCACACACACACACATCACACACACACCACACACATCACACACACACACATCACACACACACACATCACACACATCACACACACACATCACACACACACACATCACACACACTCACATCACACACACTCACATCACACACACTCACATCACACACACTCACATCACACACACTCACACACACACCACACACATCACACACATCACACACCACACATCACACACACTCACATCACACATCACACACACTCACATCACACACACACATCACACACACTCACATCACACACACACCACACACACACACTCACATCACACACACACACTCACACACACACACCACACACATCACACCATCACACACCACACACACACATCACACACACAACACTCACATCACACACACTCACATCACACACACACATCACACACACTCACATTACACACACACACATCACACACACACACATCACACACACACACATCACACACACACACATCACACACACTCACATCACACACACACATCACACACACTCACATCACACACACTCACATCACACACACTCACATCACACACACACACATCACACACACACACATCACACACACACACATCACACACACTCACATCACACACACTAACATCACACACACACCACACACACACACCACACACACACATCACACACACACACACATCACACACACACATCACACACACACATCACACACACACACATCACACACACACACATCACACACACTCAGATCACACACACATCACACACATATCACACACACACATCACACACACACACACACCACACACACATCACACCACATCACACACACACACATCACACACACATCACACACACATCACACACACACATCACACACATCACGACACACACACATCACACACACACCATCACACACACACCACACACACAACATCACACACACACATCACACACACACAGCACACACCACACCACACACACACACATCACACACACATCACACACACAGCACACACACACACACAACACACACACCACACACACACACACACACAGCACACACATCACACACATCACACACATCACACACACACCACACACACATCACACACCACACACACACACACATCACACACACACCACCACACACACATCACACACACACACATCACACACACACACATCACACACACACACCACACACACCACCCATCACACACACATCACACACACATCACACGACCATCACACACACACACATCACACTCACATCACACACACTCACATCACACACACACACATCACACACACACCACACATCACACAACACCACACACATCACACACCACACACATCACACACCTCACACACATCACACACACCACACACATCACACACACATCACACACACCACACACATCACACCACACACACATCACACACACACACACATCACACACACTCACATCACACACACTCACATCACACACACACACACCACACACATCACACATCACACACACACACACCAACACACACTCACATCACACACACACCACACACATCACACACCACCACACACATCACACACACCACACACATCACACACACCACACACATCACACATCACACACATCACACACACCACACACACACACATCACACACACACACACCACACACATCACACACACCACACACATCACACACACCACACACATCACACACACCACACACATCACACACACCACATCACACACACACATCACACACATCACACACACCACACACATCACACCACACACATCACACCACATCACACACACTCACATCACACACACCACACATCACCACACCACCACATCACACCACACACTCACACACATCACACACACCACACCATCACACACATCACACACACCACACACATCCACACCACACACATCACACATCACACACACCACACACACATCACACACACACATCACACACACCACACACATCACACACATCACACACACCACACACATCACACACATCACACACATCACACA